TCAGTGTGCAGCGCTACCCATCTTATCTTTTGTGGATTGTAGATGAAAAAGCGAACAAAAGCAAAAACAAAAAATATAAAATACTCTCGTACCTAACCATTAGTAGTATCACCGTAACACTTATAGTGCTGTTGACACGAGGATGCATGGATAGCTACGTTTGATGGTGAAATGTCTGCACATGAATTTTTAACCATATTGCGCAATTTTTTGAACATAAACGACGGGGACGTGGCGTACAAAATACATGATTTACTGAGTTTAAATCCTGCGACTGGGGCACAGGATGTAGAGTTTATCTTTGTGCTGAGAAATGAAATTGAAACGATTGCCTCTGAGTTTCTACACAGTATGTTAGCCTTACGTTGATATGCTTGAAATCCAACCAGCTCATTTCTGCCATCAACGAACAAAATCTTCTACAGCATAGTGTCGGCAAATGCAGATTTTAGCGAACCCTTTTGCTCTAGGCCGTGAACCCACTTAGAACATTCAGCATTGAAAATATGGATGCTCGAATACACCCATATTATTTCTACATGAATCGAAGATTTTTATCTTTCGGGAATCTCAGCGGTTTAAACAATATTCACGTCCATGGATGAGCGCCCAACAATCCGGTCAGACGTTTGCACTGAATGAGGCTGAGGTGCATTTCTCAGTTGGTAAGATGATGCGCGTGCATTATTATGTGAGCTTTTGTACTTATTCTTATATACCTGTTTCAAAGGAAATTAAGAATCGCGGATTCTGAACGGCTAAAAATTGGGTCCACCTATTGACTGGCATTGCCTGCAATGTGCTGCCATAACTGCACACGGGAATCTTCGCGTTATTCCATAACCAGGTGGGCAGAAATAAAATATATTGATATTTCTTCAAACACAGGTCGGTGGTATAACCGGAAATGCGAAAGTTCAGATATAAGAAACGCAGTTCAACTCTGCATATGCCGGCTACCAACCCACTGATGCACCCACTTCGATTAATCAAAGTAGTTCGCGAACTAAGTGTTTTGCTTATCTAGCAATATTCTGACCTTAAACGGTATAAGGTTCTTTGCCTAGAAACATCTTGCTAACTGATAGCAGAATCTCCTTGGGACGTTTATTGTAATATTGTGCTGAGTTATCACCTAATATGTTCACCTGATGTTGATGTGTGAGAATGAAATGGGTGATTTTCTCCAACATACTAACATTGATTTTTACTATGCTGGGTTACGCACTGTAGTTTTCAGAAATATTATCTCCTCTATTTTGCACAACAATTGGGTCATACTTTCCGTAATAATGTCATCCGGCACACGTTTTGTGAAATACTGCACGACGTGATGGACACGTGCGCGAACTTTGTGTGAACTGCATTTTGAAGTCAACATGAACGGACAGCGGCTGCTTTTCTGTATCTTACTTAGGACTTTCCGCGCGCTTTATTCAATTTGCTGTATTTTTCAAAATTGGATTGAATTTTCGTTCGGTGATATCATGATATGCGGGGTTTACTGGAAGTATTTTGACAATGCGCATAAAATCACCTAGAGTAAATGTAGCCACCCGATTGGTACGAATGGTCTTAGGGACATAGGATTCAGGACCCTGGATTTTCGGGCCCGATTGTGTTGTCGATTGCAACGGCATACGTAATAACGCGGTTCACACAATTCATATATTCCGTGTACGAACGTTTCAATTCTACACCTCGGGTAATATTTTCCAGCTAATGATTTGGTTGTGCAGAAGTAATAAAATGTAATAATACCAATCAAATGACTTGCAAAAATCTGGACTCCGATGAAGGAACTGTGGGTTCGCTTTCCAAAGACAATGCTGTCTGCGCTCACTAACTGAATGTGTTCAGTTATTCTGTTACCTTTTCGCGAGTCTGAAGGCATCAGGCTGCTGTGGGTGCACAAATGAAAACCAAATACACCATTGATTCAAGTCATTCAGAGCATTTGAACTGTGCCTGACGAACAACGTCCACTGTTGCAAATTTTGCGTATCTCTCAAAAGTGGAATGCAAATGTGTAGCTGCATCGCGTGTTCGCTTCCAACTGCGTACGGAATAGGACTACTCCAGTTTGCAGGAGCACGACAAGTTGGTTTTTGGTGTTGCGGGTGGCAATGTGGCATTTTTCACCATTGCGTTTGCAATAACATTCATAGTCCGGATATTACGAACCGAATTTCACTCCATTTCAAAGGTTAATTAAAGGCGGTCGGTGATTTTGCGGTTTACTCTACACGGTTGCTGATATGTCTGGGATAGAATGATGTGTTTCCCTTAAAAAAGCCACAAGCCCGAAGTTAGCATTTTCAGTTATGTGAAATCAGTGCAGTTTTCTGCTTTACTTCATGCGAACATACATTACATAGTTAAGGTTCGTTAATCTACGTCTAATCATGATTTTTTGTCGCACAAATTTTATATTGATTACATTTGAATTGAACAGACGTTGTAGTTTACCGCGCAAATTTGAGAATTTAACATGTGAACAAACGTTGTTTTAAAGCAATTTAACATGTGAACAAACGTTGTTTTAAATAATGACAAGTTGTCCCTTGAAACATGTTTTGCCAGACCTATTCAGCTTGGACTCAGGATGTTGTTACATTATATCCTGCGCGTCCTTTGAGCAGAATAGGCTTTACAGGGTCGCCTGAGTGCTCTCAGAGGGTGCCCAAAATTTTTGTGTATAACATTTTGGAATAGGTTTTAACCAAAGAACTAAAATCGCGATTACCGAAATTTGTCTGTGCCAAGAACAGTCCGGAGTTGTATAGCTGCATGATTACATGCCTCTGAATCAAATGATCCCAACAGTACACAGATTCTACTAGACAGTTACCGAAAGACTCTTACCTGATTGTTGAGTTTGCAGTTTGCGATAAACAAAATTTACCGCATATTCTCAGCAATTTTGAGAACGTTGTTGCTGACCGAGAACTGCTTGCGCTTTATTATCCAGTGTATATATACATATTAGCAAATCATTTGTGGATATAAATGATATCTAAATACTTGCTTGTTGATGATTCCGCTGCACAGGAAATCAGACATTATGAAGTTGTCCAGTGTATTATGGAGGGGCCACGCAAAACAAGAGAACAATGTACACTGTAGTAGAGGCCAATTCATATAAACCATAGCCCTTCAGCTGATTGTGGCAGGAAGAAGGTCTTCGCTGTGGAGTTATTTATTCGGAAATGCCAACTGACTGGTTAGAGACCATTGAACATGGAAGAAAAACTTTTATAGGCGTCATAGTTACAAAAATTGGATGTCGATCTTCGCCCAAACGAGCCTTCATGTATTTCCTGGAGATTCACTGACTCAACTCATTCCTTGATCAAACCCTACAAATGGTACACAGTGGCTCCACGAATTCCGCGACAGATCTCCCTTTTTCAAAAGACGCAAAGCGAAATTCTAGGGACAAGACACAGAACTCGCGTGCCTTTCCGTTAGTAGCATCACCGTTACATACCTCCACGCCGTAGAGCTCGTTCGCATGCCATCGTTTTTCATTCAACTCCGTCAGGTCGGCTTCGGCAGCGGGTCTATTGGGCCGCTGTTTGGGTGTATCCTGCCACTTGGGAAGCTGCGTCCATTCACTACTTTCATTCCAAACATGTTGAATGATATAGACGTTCCACCGGCGGTCTGTGATGACAAACGGCCCATGTCATCGACTGCCCAGCTTCCGCAACAACAGTCCACTCCTTCCAGGCTTCTGAGGATCCTTCCATTTGACCCTCGTGTCTTTGGGGAACGTTCAGACAGTCCTACTTACCGTTTTCTGCCTAGTCCTCTCCTGGTAAGTTCATTCCCAAGTCACCTACTTTGGCCGCAAGCCACTTATTGGTCGTTCGGTTGTTACGCTGTTATGACCAAGGTGACTCTGGAACGCCTGTCGTGATTTTCTTTGACCTTGAGTTCACTAATAGCACATCGTTATGCATGCCCATATTTTTGCCATCAAATTTCAGTTCAATAAATTGCAAGAATGCCTTAATAAGGTCACTGCTTTGCGTGGTTCGTAATCTCTGGTTTAGATGCGACTGCACAATTTTTGAACATAGATATTTAACAATGGGGAGACTAATCAAAAACGTGTGGTTTACTTGCAAGCACAAAGCAAATTATCGTTCACATGACGAAAAGTGGTGCCATCAAAATGTTTGTTGGGAAATGTTTGAATATGTAGATATGGACGAATCGAAATGATTGCGCGGGTTTGATACCAAGTAAAAAACGTTTTAGATTCTAACGGCCCGTTTTATGACACGTATATGCTGACAGACAACTAGCGCTGTATGTCTTCAACTAATAATTAGAGTTCTTCAAAATTAGGCAGGCAGACCGACAGCGAAGTCGTTGAATATCCCATTTAGGCACGCCTTTATCTGCCGAAAACCTAAGCGGCAAAATAACACGCCTAATGATGCCTAATGAAAAAAATTGGCCTCAATTTCAACCACTTCACTCGACTAGAAACAACAGCGCCAATCTGGCCAAATTGGTTAGCTTACCGGATGATTGCGAAGTTGCCTCAGTAGTTGAGGAAACTATGGTCATGTTGGTGGGAAGAAATAATTGGATGTATCTAGGTAAGATAATGTGTGCTGGATTCACTAATAAGAGTATATCTTGATGTTACTTCGTATTCGTGATCGTTTGTGTTTGAGACAGCAGGTTTAGATAGGGCATTCATGCGCACAAATATTTTCCCTTTACGTGAATCCCGATTTCAAATATATTTTTCCAAATATGTTCTACGGAACTTTTGGGCCTAATCTCAAGTTGCAATGTTGAGTAACTAATTTCAGTATGCCCTCGTCGTTTAAAGGATTTTTAATTTTACGCATCAAGAAATAAAGTAAATGTCTCTTAGTCTTCAATCTTTCAGCCGGATGGTCGCAATTCAGAGCTCTTCAGGGTTTTTTGGGATTCACACTGAGGAGAGTTCCCATTAGAATATAGTAGCACCACAGCGCTCCCGCCTTTGCATCGTGGATAAGCTGTTATTAGAAGCAATTTTTTTCAAACAATTACCGTTGCACAAAATTATTCTCTAACCAATTTCGGTTGGCACCAAATGTAAATAACCAGGTGTACGCTATTATTCTTCCTGAATTGTTGGAAGAAAATGCATCTGGAGAGTCCGCGCCCAAATACGATTATTAAGAACTATTTATGATGTGATTGAAGGGGGAAAACGAACGAAATCGACCTCGATAAGCGGTTGTGAATATATGGATATCGGCGTATGTTCAAAGTGCACATACATAATGCTGGTATTTGAAATTTCATTTAAGATCCAGACAAAATGCTCAAATAGCATCAAAGTACGATTGCGATATTTGCGCAGTGGAATGTATTATAGGCCATTAAACATCTGATAACAACCCTCTATGCATACACATAACCACCAATAATTATCAGTTCAATTATTTACAGGAAAACCATGATCAGATGGCTACAATATAGGTTACATGCTATTTAGTTTCGCTGTGGTTGCAAATTCGTTAAATTCTGGACGTGCTTGGTTAGAACCAGCTTGTCTAACAGGCTTATTTGCGCAAGTTTGCAACAGAGTTTTTACCATGTTATCAAATACTTCGGGCGTTCCACTTTCAAAACAGCCCGTCTATGTAAGACGTTCGCCTGCCTACAAGCCTCTTCACGACAACAGCTCTGATTCCTCCATGAATTTCTGCGGAAACACGTCCCATCCCCGTAGTGTAACCTACCGACCACCAATGAACCTTCCGGAATCTGGGATATTGGCAAGGCAAAATGGCCAACGAATGATGAGATTCATGATTATGGGCGCTCGCAACCACATTAGGAAGTACGACGGAATAGCCAGCGAACATGCGGAAACGCGCCTGAAGACAGTACGACTAGATATCATGGAGCGAATCAGCATGGCGGTAGATCGGATAGTTTCATCCACTGCTAAAAAAGGAAAGCTCATTTAGATGGAGTCACATTCTTGGAACATGAAACGCGTTTCGTGATTCATGATCTCCATCCCCCACAGTATCATCGGCTAAGAAAATACCTAGTTCTTACATTTGCCTTGGCCAACGGTTTTTTCATCGTTGACCCGGCTTACATATTGCCAGTCGCGGAAAAAGTCGGTTTCAGCATCAAGGTGCACGCTGTCGTAAGGCAGTTTTTTCGGGTAGTTGATGCGTGGAAAAACATTTTTCCGACAGTCACCACAGTACATTGAACGCTCGGTTCAAAGAATGATTGGGCATTGTGACGGGAGTCCTGACCCTAGCAAGCTTACTGCCCTGCGCTACGGATTCAGTGTGCAGCGCTACCCTTCTTATCTTTTGTGGATTGTAGATGAAAAAGCGAACAAACGCAAAAACAAATTTTGTATCTTGGACCAAATCTCCGATGTTTTGCATCGCTCTGTGTGTCAGTGTTATCGGCTACCAGGCGGCGAAATACTTATTAGAATTCAAGGTAATTCACAAATGATGCAGCCGATATCCCGTGATACGAACGCTTTTTTGCTTTCGTGGACCCCACATATATTCTGACACCAGAATCTCCACGTTAGTGAGATACAAAAAATGTCGCTTTGTTCATTGTATTGTACACTGATTTGGGGCGTTCTTCAAACCACTTAAGTTGCCTCATTTATTCACGGTTATGCGAATATGCCTGGAATCTATCAGAGCTTCCACATAACAACAATCGCTTTCCATGAAGCTGTCTTCAGCGTTCATTTGTTCACAAAATTCATCGTAAACATTTTTCAAGAATAATGATAATTTTGACGGTGTCTAATATCATTATAATTGTGAACATTGAAAGAATCGGCCTGCATGATTAACCCGTCTTTTGAAACCTTGCGTCATCTACGCGACATTGGCTGCTACAATAAAACTTAAACAGGCGTGCGCATAACGAGTTCGCAAGGTGCGCAGGTTATAGAACATAGGTCAGAAAGGTGCACGTTAGCGGTAGGTATTTTGTATTGTACGAAATTATTCACACATTATACAACGAAACGAGTAACATGAAAAAGATAACGCAAATGATGGCGGATTCGCGGGGGGCACACCTTCAGGTAAAACGTGAAGAAAGTGGAGTTTTCTATAATTTGTTTAATAAACACCATGTCCTTGCGTACGAAGTTAGAAGCCAGCTGCCTACAATTCATATTATGCTGACCAAGATCATTCTAGGTATTTGTACAATTTATGGCTTCGACCGAGTTAGGCCATTTCCGATAGAAGATGCGACACAATTCACGAAATTTCCCGCGGTATTTAGGAACTCCTTGGATTCTGGCATGTAACCACATTAGCATAGAAACATGGCGACAAATGCCGAGACGTGCGGCGGAAAACTACTATGACATGGACATCAAGCGAGTTAGCTAAGCAAGCAGATTATTCTTGCGGGTGTCAGGGTTAAGTAAAAAATCTTCATTCTGTGAAAAACAGAACAAAACTTAATTTTGCAACTGTGTGACTGGTGGTAATGAGTGGGTTGTCGTGACTTTCACCAGTCACGGGTATCTAACTGCTTGCTAGCTCGAATGTTTGTTTGTTTTTGTGTATTAAACCTCATCTTATTTGTTTGTTTGACGCCCTTCTGGTCTTCGTTATGGAACAAGGAAAACAAAAACATACTCGCTGGTCAGAGCAATTTGTCGTGGAATAGATAAAGCATTCAAAATTCAGCCTTGAAATTCGCCTAAGCGGACATAGGTCGTGACTTGCTACAAAGATAATAATGTACTGAATAGCAGAAGCAACACCACAAAAGTGCAGTTGGAAGCTTGAGTGAACACTGTATGCGTGTTATCCGTGGTCACTAATTTTTTTGACAAACATACTTGCGTCTGTCCTTTTCAGCTTGCATAATTGGACAATCTAGAACACTTCTCTTACTCAAGCGATTTGATTTTGTGTTGCAGAAGGCTCTTAGTTCTGGGATCACATGACCAATGCATTTTTATGTGAATCATGCAGGTCTCGTGACTCCATACCCGCTTTTGTGACCATGCCACCATGTGCCCCGAATTGCGGTTAAAATTCTGGTTGAAGTTGGGCGTGGAAAACCACCGTCCGCAGTCACCAAGGTCGGATTGTCCGCATATCTCAAAACACATTGGCCTAGTTCGGGAGATTCGCAGACATTGAGTCGCATAGCATGCTTCGGGGATCTAAAGGTGAACGCTGGCTATGGAGCAAATCACTTCTCACTCTCTGCCGCAAATGCAAAAACAATTTCTCATGCCACCGATCGTGGTATATTTTTGAAATATACAGCATATTTCAGTAGTGTGTGCTTCACAGCCTTATTTCAATCGGCCAGATTCATTAGATTGCACCGAAGATACCTTAAAATCCGGCAACGTTAAACGTATACATTATGCGTTCATTCCACGAACACACTTCGTGGTTTATATTGGAGAGAGAACATACGATGAACTAGTTTTTTCAATTTTCAATACAGTATGAGTTAAATCAGCATGGATTGACTCAGAATGAATACATAATTTTGCGACTGTGCGACTGGTGACTATGAGTGGTTTGTCGTGACTTTCACCAGTCACGTGTATCTAACTGCTTGCTGGCTCGAATGTTTGTTTGTTTTTGTGTATTAAACCTCATCTTATTTGTTTGTTTGACGCCCTTCTGGTCTTCATTATGCAACAATCGGAACAAAAACATACTCGCTGGTCGGGGCAATTTGTCGTGGAATAGATAAAGCATTCAAGATTCAGCCTTGAAATTTGCCTACGCGGACATAGGTCGTGTGTTACACGAAACATATCCATGTACAAACTATCAAGTGCATCCCCACATGAAAATACGTCGGGATCTTCAGCAACCGGTTATTAGTATTTTTGTAGCATATTTACTTGATTCTTCTTTTTGTTTAGGTTGTGCAGTTGGAGAATCTTTGACCAAGCTCCAAAATCGGAATAGCTTTTCTGTGATGCAAAGGACTAATAATTCTAGGGGTCAAATGACCATTACCTCTTCATGTGCGTCATGCAGGTCTGGTGGCTCGATGTCACTCGTGCCAAAGTTTGCAGTCATAAGGGTAGTTGAAGTAAGAGGTGGAAAACCACCATCCGCGGTCAGCACGATTGGATTGTTTGCATATCTCAAACAATGTTGGACCAGTTTTGCAGATTTGCAGACATCGATTTGCATAAAATGCCCCGGCGTTCTAAATGCGAATGTTATCTTGTGAGCAAATCTTTTTATGTCGTCTTGTTGATCTTTGTGTATGTTAGAAGTATAAAACGCTTTTTAGTGGGGTGTACTTCACAGCCACATTCGATCGGCCAAATTATTCAGTTTGCAGTGAAGATGACAAAAAATTCGACAACGTAATAATTAAACATAATGCTTGTATACTAAGAACACAGTTGCGGTCTTATTTTGAAAAAAAAACACGAGGACCTAGCTGTTTCAATTTTGAATACGGTTTGAATGAAATCAGCACTGAATGACTCAGTACTGATACTAAATTTTGCAAGTGTGTAACTGGTGACTATGAATGGGTTGCCATGACAGTTCCCAGTTTGTGTACCTTACGTCAAGCTAGCTCAAATGTTTGTTTGTTTTTGTTGATCAAACCCCATTTTGTTTCTTTGTTCGTCGTCGTTAAGGTTGCCCAAAACAGTTGAGGTTTTTAAAATATTACTGGTAAGACAGTGGCTCAATTTTTTTAGAAAATTGAAAATGCGCTGAGAAATTATTACTTTCAGTCGCTCAGGCATGCACTGTTGCCATTCAATCCAGATTCTCTCTGGAAATGTTTTTGCTTACAAAAATGGAATATTTTTGCAAAGGTGGCACTCCTATGCAAACATTACGTTTCAACCATTTTGTAACAGAATGGACATGTCGCAAGTGCGTTAAACCTGTTGTCTTACACAGAGCTCTAACAAAAAGTATGACATGTTGGTAAAAAAATGCATCAAAGTGTGGATTTGTTTATGAGGCAGATGGACTTTTATCTAAACCAAATGGTTTCGCCCTTTGAAATGAGTGACACTGATCATGATCAATGCATGATCAACTCAAAATGCTGAGCATTTTAATAAAGCAATGACGAATGTTTAGGCAACTTCCTTATATATATATTCGTTCGCATCACAATATATAGGTCGCCAAATAATCGGTCTGTTTTGTACTTATGTTCACCAGGAAGGTGGGTGCAAGAAGCCCGCAATGATATCAAAGCCAGCTTCATAATTTGGATATTAATCAAGTAAAATTGAGGCAGAATCACATGAGCCTACACAAAGGGTTTGCGACAGTCACAGTTGAAGGAACATTGAATGATTTTCGTCTTCATGCTACGTTTTACCCCAGGCGGGACATTTGAGCAGAAAAAACGTAAAACATATGGTTTAATTCAAAGAAACAGCATGTTCCAGACATTACGCCAGATTTTCGAGAGTCAAAACTTCTAGGCCGTTCACCCTAGGAGATTCTTCAGCTGGTCTTTTGCACAATCTATGGTTATAATCCTTTGTTTTTTCTGTATGAAACGAATATCTAGTATCATTTTGCGGTTAAGAGTTAAGCGATAATTTGCAATATGACCATCAGGGAATGCACGCTCCTTACATCAGTAAAATGCAGTTTTTCTACCAGGAAATGACTAAGCAACTCCGACTTTAGCAGCATGGTATAACATGGTATAACAGTGTGTCTCAACTTCCATCCTAGATTTATTTTAGATAATCAGGGTTTAGATTTTTCTGTAGGCCATGTTTTAGAAAGCTCAATGTTAAGCGTGTTTATGTTGTTATCTTCATTCATGCGTAGTGAATGAGAAAACGTTACAGGGACGTTTTGGGAGGAACCTATTTACTTCACCAATAGTTATAGCGCTGCAACAGTTGGACACCAATTTGGAGTTCCGATCTCTCTCTACCAGCGCAATTCAAACTCCTAACTTGCTGTATTTGGCACAAGTGCCGCAGATATCCAAATTGCCGGTCATCAATGGCGGAACTGCAACTGCGTAGGGGCAATACTGAACCTACTCTATTTTTTCACGTACTGCAGTCCTGCGATGCGCCATTATTTTTTTCCAAGATTAAAGAAACACTTGGCTAGCTGACCTACGCTGACTTCTTATTTTGAAAATATTTGCCCGGTGCTCACAAAACCAGACATTGTAAAATTAGTATAATAGATATATGTTTTAGCTCAGAGGAGACCACAGCCGGCAACACAAATTTGGCGTGTGGTATGTTTGAAGTCTGAGGTCGGCATGTTCGGTTGGTGTTGAGGTATCATGAAGGATGTTGAGTTTGCTCGCCAAATTTGCAGACAATGAGGGCCATATCCCGCCACGTCTATTTTGAGGTGCATGCTGGGTAAGGAGACAATTTCTTCATATCGTTTTCCTCTAACTAAAAGTCAAATTGTCATGTCAAAAGCCGTCGTATGTAATAAACGAGACTTTATGTTCCACGGCATTACAGGTCGCTGGGATTTAGATGTTTGGTTTTTATGTTTTTCTACAACGTCATCAAATCCGGCAACGAATTGAGTGACCGCTAAGTTTGTCTTAAACAGACACATTCTCCAGCTTCATTTTGGAAATGCATTACTGCAAAGGCTGGGTTGCTTAATTGTTTTGATATAGTGGAATTGACCCATAAGTCAGCTTCAATTCGGAAGAGTAATGATGAGTAACCTGCCGCGCTGGTTTTTAATTCTATATTCTTAACATTCAGCTAGCCTCAACGTATATTTTACCCCTAACTTGGACGTCGCTAAAATTCACTGTTTGCCGGTCGTGATTTTAGTGTGTTTGCTGATACACTCACCGCTAATTAACTCCACCGCGTGAGAAAGTATAAAATGCACCGCAGAATAACAAACAAGCTATTAATTCATTATTATTCATCATACTAAACTTGACCAACTGCATCATACCTCACTTTAAATTGCCCCACAGGATAATCAGCCAGTGGAACGCGTGTACTCCTGGCGTCCAAATTTTATGCGTTTGCTATAACTGTAACTCGGTTTTGATGGGCATATTGTAGGAGTGCTAGAGTTTAGATATTATCCACTTTGGAAACTGATTGGTGTTATTCGCTCAGTCAGGCACCCTCGCCAATCAATTCGTTTCCGTTCGCGATTTGTTGCTGCACAATACAGATTGCATTTTTGCGTGAAAAGTGACACATATTTACATTTCTATATAAAGGTAATGTGTAAACACCATTCCAAGAAAACGGCTATTTTGCAAACACGTTAAACCGGTTTTGGCTTACTCGAAACTTTGAGGTAAATTGGGACATGTTGACAAAATGAGTTGCGACAGAAAGGCGTGGCAAATTCGAGAAATATTGGATATTTTACTAAGACACGTGCGATTAATGAAGCGATACCCATTGACTTTTACTGTCGCATAACTATTTATACATCGCCACATAATTGGAAGGTTTTATACTTATATCCAAACAAAACAAAAATGAATGGTTGCTCATATAATTTTCAGGATTCGACGGCTTCTTAACATCCGTTAATGATGCGAGCGTAAATTCAAATCTACACCCTCGATGCCGTCAACCATGAGGTTAAAAACCCAACTCAAATGAAATGTGAATATTTCTGTGTTGAGTCCAGACAGCCTGCCAATTTGTTAGATGTCTTTGTTCCTAAACGGAAATATCAGGCCTTACTTAATGAGCGCTACTAATAACAAACAGTTATTCTCAGTTGGTTTGCCCTCATGTCACACCATTCCCAAAACATTAGACACGTCTGTGTGAATTTAGGGTCAAGATTTGAAATGAAGAGTTAAAAATTAGACTCAATAAAGGGGTCAGAAGATATCAATATTCAGCACGTAATGTGAATAATTTTTTACAGGCTCGTTGTTGCCCAGTAAATCTGGGCCGTTTAATGCTCACGAGCGAGCCAACTTCATCGAATGTTTTAAAATCATGGTATTTAGTTTTACTGTGGACGCCTGAATTCATTATGCAGGCGTTTCTTTGCTCGCCAAATTGGCTTTTTTAGGTTGTCAGGCGTTCGCAAATTCCTATGTCTCCCAGAGGTTTCTGACCTCAAAACAACAAATAAGAAATTTTTCTAAAACTCGTTTTTTAAGTGCGTAACTGTGCATTCCGTCCAGTTGACCTGAATTCTACCATCAGTTGTGATTTATAATATATCAACAATAATTTGCGTCTACCGGCTTTATTGATAGCCAAATGGAGAATGCAAAAAGCAAAGTACATAGTTTATGAAATGCAAATCCAAAATTAACTTTATCGACAGCCTGCATGATAAACAGCCAAGAATGGTCGTCAACTACAAAGGTAAATATATTGTGACAACAGGCACTGCGTGATCGTATCGGCAACAGCATGGCTATGACCAACCGCAAATGACGCCGCTCTCAATCTGCCTAGGTACGTTGAATGAAACGCAAAAATATTGCTTCCGTTTTCGAGATGTCACTCTAACAATGTTTCATAAAATCACCCCAGAATGATAGTTCCTGTTATTAAAATTGCGTCTCTTTATCCCTAGCTACTTACTATGAGCAGTGTAATTAGGAGCGTTAGTTTAAAGCATGCTCATGGAACGAATATGTAGTTTGCCAAGGCCAATATCCCTCGACTAGTACCTCTTGACACAACGATGTCAAGCTGACAACTGTGGAAAGGGGTGCAATCGATGATCAGGTATGCTTAAACAGCTATTCTTGCACTCATGATTTTTTGCCCATGCATGTTGCCCGGGAAGAAAAAAATTACGACTGACTTGAACAGATTGTTGTTTCTATCGTACAGGCAAATATGGAGTATGTAAACTCACCACCTGCTAATTGTAGTGTTTCGCGGTTTCGGGGAAAAGCATTAGTGAGTTTCTAATTGCATGAACTCAAGCGTTATGTTTGCACACTACCAGCCTTTACATTCTACAGAGGCAATCGCCAAAACAGAAAGCAGAAAAATATAAAGCAGTTTTGTTAAGATTCACGTTTCCAGCCTTCACGGTTGCATTGGTGGAAATAGAAACAGTAGGAATTTTGTGGGAATTCATGTTATCAATGCGCTTGGTGAAACGAAATCCAGTGTTGATTCCGCATTCATTGTTTTACTGGTACAGCTCATATCAATGTGGATGACTGATGCAGTAGTAAACAGATATATTTTGCAAAGAAAATTACTCTCTCGTCTTAAATGAATTTGGAATGGAACATCCAAGTCAGAAACCGTACAAATGCCAGTATTTCCAAAGCCGTATAGCTTAGGGCGACGGCGCCATGCATGATTATTTTTGCGGAGACAATTCGGATGTCTACTACAACGACACGATCTCTGAAAAAAGCGCTTAAATGCTTGTGAATAGGTAGGCTAAATTGCCGTAATATGCGATAATCGGGAAGAGAACCGCTGAGCGCTCTATACTGAAACTGATATGATTATTTGAAAATGCAAAGATGGAATAACATGGTCGTTGGTTTGTAGCCTAAAAGGCTCACAACTCTACAGACTGAGTATGGTTAAGTGTAGCTGTGCGTATAATATTGATAGGTTTTTGCAATGATTCATACAAATTGTGAACTACTGCATGCCCGTTAGTTCAACTAACAAGAATTTATGAAGCATGTTTAGAAAATGTATACCTACGTAACATCACCAAAACCCGGACGAATTACCTAAAATACAAGCACGACATACTGATTACGTTATCTCGTTTGAAGGCCTAATTTGTGCCACATTCAACTAATACTGCAGTTGGGCGCGTTAGCTAATCTACTGCATATTTCGAACGACACCCCACAATATATGCACCCTATTGGCCTGCCGAGATAATTTGGACCCAACTTTGACACGATTTAGACACTCATTATGAACGGAATTTACTGGGCTGGGATATTTACTCAGTGGCTTACCGCTGAAATTATTTCAAAAGATAAGTCGTTCCTGAATTTTTCAGTGCCATATTAGTAGTCGCCAAAAATCAAAAGTCAACGCGGTAATTGTTGCATAATTAAACTGCTGAAAGCATCAACATAACTCTAAATCCTTTTACCAAAGCTCCAGATATTATTATCCGCGTTGATAGCGCATGCATGTTTATCGTACGTAAAGTTCACCCACCATTTTATCACAATATTTAGTTCAATCAATTTGCGGAGAGCCCTTTATATCACTATCACACAATAGATTTTTTCATAAAAATACATCAAGACATAAAATTTTAGCGCTTCAGCTTTTCAAAAACGTAATGAAGCGTAGTCACGTTGGGTGCATTTGTGCTCTAAACCCACTGAAAATTACTGCATGCATTTTCGGGGAAATAGTTTTCACAAAAACGTCACACGGGTGAGACCATTCATTGTATGTATGAGTTCAATAATGTTGAACGCATCCCAGGGTCTAGGGCATTCATAAACATCTCACCGGCTGCCGCAGACCCTGTGGACCCTAATCTCATAGAACGTTATTGATGCGCAATCCGGTAATGCTGTGCAATGCTTTGTACATCGGCCAGATTTGTCGGTGAAGAAATTGCATACATAATGTGTCAACTGAAGTTAATTCGGCACCGGTTTTCTACACAACCAAACACGCACGGCGATAATCTAGCCGCTGCGATTTTTTGCCAAATAAGCTGACTTGTTAAACATCGTCATGTAGAAATCAAAGCAAATTTATAATGACCAATGATAAGGTATTATAGTTGATCCTTTGGCAGCTGACCAGAATGTTCCACGATTAATTTTTGTGGGGAATTTTTATCTCATTATTGGCATGTAATATGGGTATCCTATGTTGTGCTGTGGGCCCCATCCACATACATTGTGACCTATTCCTCCATTTACATATTAACTGACATTTTTTGAAACGTATTACAGATTTCTGTGCAAGAATGCAAGATCACGTTCATCAAACAATGCGAAGATGTCAGTTTTATCACTCTAACAGGAAGTTTCGTTGTCACATTCAAAGGAAGGTAATCTTTTTATTGTCACAATATTCACAATATT